CAAATTCATACACAGTAGTTCCCAGACAATAAAAAACGGTGTGATAAATCGCAAAGGATTCGTCTGGACAGATTGTTTGTGCGTATGCCATGAAAATCAGAACAAGAATGGGACAAGTTATGAAGTCAGTAGTAAGATGTGGAAATCCGTTCGTTGCCAGCTACGAACGGAGTCCCAAAACTCATCGGGTACATACTGATGGTTCTCAGCTGGGGGGTGAAGTTTAAGAGTTCGGTGGAGAATACCTCAGATCTTGAGGTTATTGGTAGCCCAAACACGGATTGCTGATTCATGCCTATTGATTTTGTCTCACAGTATAGTGATGGTAGGGGGTGTGTTCGGTCATCACGTGCTCGTACTGAAAGAAGCAATGCAACATTTCAACGTGTTCGAACGTGTACACACGTTTACACGAGAGAAAGATCACCATTACTGATCGTACTTTTGTGGATGCAACATCTGATCCACCTGTTTTCCCGCTGCCATCGTTCCTTGGAGGTAAATGGTCATGTATAAGAGCCAAACCGAATTAAGGAGTCAAGGTGACACATCTGAGAAAGTGGAATCAACCGTCTGGCTTTACTCCACGCGGAATGGGCTTGTTGATAACGTGGCAAGATCACCATTACTGATCGTACGTTTGTGGACGTAACATCTGATCCACCTGTTTTCCCGCTGCCATCGTTCCTTGGAGGTAAATGGTCATGTATAAGAGCCAAACCGAATTAAGGAGTCAAGGTGACACATCTGAGAAAGTGGAATCAACCGTCTGGCTTCACTCCACGCGGAATGGACTCGTTGATAACGTGGCGAATAGGCACAGGACAAGTGAGGTGGAACTGTTGATAGGTTGAAGAGATTTGGGAATTTCCAATGAAGGTCTCCACCTGTGAGTGCGGGAAAACCGAGAAGCTTCTAATGTAATCGTCTACCAATAGTTCCCGTGAATTTTCTTTCGGTGTCAGGTTTTATCGACCACGGAGTTACGCCAAAAAATAAATAGCAAAAACTGCACCGTTCCAACACAATTCGCAAAACTAACCAGAAGATCATCACAATGTTATTTTCATGAAGGAAGCTACTCACAAGGTTGCGGAAAGCTCTCTACATGGGAATTAGCACGCTCTTGCCAAGGTAGAGCGTCGCTCTGGATCGGACTTCTAAGAATAATAGTCCTCGCCTCCTGTTTGTTACCTGTGACTATTTTTCGTTCCACTTGGAGGACTTCAGTTTAGCCTTTTAAAATCCAAGACTGACCTCTGGCAACGTACTGGGGTGTATCTGCCTGAGTACAGGTGACCTAAATTGTATTCCAATTCTTTTCTGCGATCGATTATGCCAGGATTGATCGCATTAGGCGCAGCTGCCACTTTTCTGACTTAGTATGAAAACTCTTTCAAGAGTTTTCAGCAACCTTATGAGTAGTGTGGCCCGTTAAGAAAATAAACGGCGTTATTTCGAATAGCACGCCAACTGAAGCATGAAGTGGCCTTTGTGCAGCGTAGACAGTTGAAGAATATCAGAGACTACAGATTCAGCTACAACCCCCCGTTTTGTTTGCTTCAAATTAGAGTATTTCGCGAACTACTCCAAGGCGTTTTTCAAGATGATGATAGATAGATTTTGAGTAGACACGTTTGTGATGAGACGAAACCGGTTATCGAATAGTTTCTGCCAAAATTCTGTGTGGTTTTCTCTATGAAAAATACTACTGAATTCTACAGATACTCTCAACTGTATGTGAATTTAGTTTTGACAGGAGACTCAACTGAACGCAGCTGAATCTGTCGTTTAGCCGAATGCGGCACATCAGGCCATCTGATGTTTCATTTGGTACGATATTCAAAATATCGCGGTAAGTCGTTGTCTAGACGTAACACACTACTCATATGGTTGCTGCGGCGTTTTCAGAAACCTTATGTGCAGTGTGGTCCGTTTAGAAAATTGAGTTCTCTTCCACATCAGCTGCTCCGCATACTCCATTCCCTTACTCGTCGTGGTGAGTATTATTCACCGCAACGCACATGGGCCTATTAGACTTTGGCGATAATCGTATTCGAGGGTGAGGCATGTTCAGATGGCACTCAAGAGTAGCGCCACCTCAGAGTGAGCATCGCTCCACCACGAAAGAATTCCACACATACTGTAGAGAGCAGTACTGGCGACGGATGTTTCAAAAAAACGGATCAAACTGAGAGCGCGAAAGATGTCAGCTACAGACAGAGATAACGTTGCGGCAAGGAAGTAGACTGGTTCCTCGGAGCTCAATAGAACCGTCCAAAAGCTGGTTGTCGGAGAGACTATAAAACGTTCCTCATTTACCGATGTGCATTGCTGGTGAAGAAAAAACACAGGGTGGTTTGTGAAATAACTGGAAGATCTCAGTCTGGTGATCAGTCACCTAACATTCGGGGAAGACGCAAGAAGTGATCGACTACATCCGGGTTGTCTCTTCGAAACGACCTGTGAGATATGGGGCTTCTCTGCAATGGATGTATTGTCTAGGAAAGAATAATCGATTTCGGTCAATAGGTTGACAATCTTTGGTCCTACCGTTTTGTCGCGGTTGTTTCCATTTGCTCCTTCAATTGCGATCCTTCTTTCAGATTGGTTGTTGGAGGACTTTTCGCATTGCTGACTTCTGTTATTAGAAGTACAGAAGTAGCGTTTGATTGGTCACACGAGTTCGCTACAAGATTTCAGTAAAAACTTCTAGTGAATCTTTTCCAGATAAGCCCCGCCCCCCTTTTTCCCAGCTCCAATTTAATGTACGCACACCTTTGCCTATTTTTAATGAAAACAATTCCTAATCCGCATCTGGGCTCATTTTGTGCAACTATTTTCTCCGTTCGGACGTAAAACCTTAAATGAAATTTTTGACGCTTTCAACTCTGGTTCATGACAAGGAGACGGTAATACGTTTTTTGCAAAGCCACGGAGTGATCCATCGGCAGCGTTTATGCAACAATGGCCACCAAATGACACTTTCAACTGTTTCTGACAGGTAGAAGTGTAATGCAGTGTCGCAAAGAAATCGGTCTTCGAAAGGGATTTTGACTAGAGCTGTCTAGGATAGAGTTTAAGGACAGTAATCTATTCATTTATCGCTGGTCCAAAAATTTGGCAGAAATCGAATTCTGCTCAGAAGAATTATCTATTAGCCACACGACCGGTTTTGACTGGAACAACTTTTTTCGAGAAGTTTGCGCCTGGCGGCTTTTGCAGACTCCAACAGTTATCGGCGGCCATGTCTGGACGTCGAGATCGATGGAACGCTGATATCTCGCCGCAAAAACCACGCAGGGCGAGTTCTTCCTTAGCAGTGGATTTTCGGAGGGATCTGTCGGGAAACTGAAGAGGTGTTCCTGCATGCAGTACCAGATCGAACTGCGGCCACTTTGCTGGAACCAATCCAGGCCTGTTTCGCTCCAGGCTCAATCATCATCTCCGATATGTGGGTATCATACCAAGGAATTGAAAAGATGATTGACATGAATTATACTTATAAAACGGTTAATCATACCGAAAACTTTGTGGATCCAGCGACTGGAGCTCACACACAAACCATCGAATCTTTTTGGCACGTCTACAAGATGCAGAATGGACGCCAATGCGCCACACACCGATCTTCAGTGGACAGCTCGTTTTGTGAGTTNGTTCTTCCTTAGCAGTGGATTTTCGGAGGGATCTGTCGGGAAACTAAAGAGGTGTTCATGCATGCAGTACCAGATCGAACTACGGCCACTTTGCTGGAACCAATCCAGGCCTGTATCGCTCCAGGCTCAATCATCATCTCCGATATGTGGGTATCATACCAAGGAATTGAAAAGATGATTGACATGAATTATACTTATAAAACGGTTAATCATACCGAAAACTTTGTGGATCCAGCGACTGGAGCTCACACACAAACCATCGAATCTTTTTGGCACGTCTACAAGATGCAGAATGGACGCCAATGCGCCACACACCGATCTTCAGTGGACAGCTAGTTTTGTGAGTTCGTTTGGAGAGAAAGGTACCGAGAAACAGACCTTTTCATGCAAATTATTAATGACATGTCGCAATTTCACTCTCTTCAATAAAAACTAAAAGTACAAATTTCATATCCTTTTTTCTAATCGTTTTTTTGGTGGCGGGGTTTATCTGGAAAAGTTCTAATCTGCTTACAGGTTATTGAAGGATTTTTCAAATTGCTGACTACTATTATTAGAAAAACAGAGGTAGCGTTCGATCGGCCACAAGAATTGGCTGCAGTCAAAACTTCCAGTTCACTGAATGCAGTTGTAGAAGGAAAAAAGCCTGTTAGTCACTGCACATGAGTGAAAACATTCTTCGAAGGCAGTCACTTCACGGGCAAAAAAAGCTTGAGATACCTTTTATTCAAACTTCAAGTGTGTCTGCCCACATTTTCGACGGTTCAGTTGGTATCATATTAGTCACACAAGGGTGTGCAAAGCTGTGATCGATCGACAACCCGTGACTTTGACGTGCAACGGTCCGCATCAAACTGGACTGTTGCAGCCTGATAGAATCTGCATCTCTGTTGTCGCTTTCGCTGTCATCAGATAAAATAAGAAAGATCAATGGCGCAGGCATGTTACGTCTGCATGTCAAAACACTCAGTTACTTCCAGAAGAAACGGTACTGACAGCAACCCTTCTTCATAGATTGCAGCGTCCGCAGAAAAGTTCACACGTTAACTGGATCCCGTCCCATGAAGTGGATCCCACAGGCGGCATCAAGACTTTCCAGAAAGCAAGTGTGTACCTTACACCATGCAAGATGTTGAACAATATCATCGCCACCTTTCCACTACCAGATAACAAGTCAGGCTTCGCACACAACGCTTGCGAAAACCATGATATCACATACAGGAACGCCGACTACACTGACAAGGCAGAGAAGTTTTTCCCTAGTCTCAAGTGAGGAGAACACTTTCATAAAAATAGGGGAGTCAAACAAACTGAAAAACAAAGAGCAATCAATCAATCAGTTAATCAGTCGTTTAGTTGTAACACCTCTTCGGTACACAGCTGCCATGCTACTTGAAGGAAGCATGAGGGCTGATATGCTGCCAGGTTGCCCTAACACAAACAAGAGCAATCAAGATGCTGAGGTTAGGTTCGTCCTTCTGGTCACTAAGTTAGCACCTCATGAACTGAACTACCTCGAGCTTCCAAAGAAGACTTGGCTGTAAGATCCCACCGGCGTATCTGCATTTCCTCCAAGAAACTGAATAGTACACATGCGTCGACGATAAAGTGAAAGCCGGATTATGCAGAATAAAGCCTACATGTGCGTACCCTCTGCGTTAGGTGGCAACACTTGGGTAATCTTCAGTCCCATTAAAGTTCGACCAATGCGGTTTAAGTTCTTGCATCTTAATAACCCGCTTATTCACGCGAGTGTGCATTCTATTGCACACCGAGAAAGAACCGATTAGTGGACATTTTCGAGAGCGATAAGGTTGGGTCATCTGTTGTTCGAGTGACTGGAACCAAATTGATCCAGAGGTGCATGATTCCTGTGTCTGATCAAGGAACTAGCGAGGGATGGGAGAGTTAATAGTGTCTTCCAACGTACTTGCTATTAATGGCGTCCAATTCGGCCAAGGCTGACTTCCAACCATCATTCTCGTCTTGGCACGAAGCCAACGACTTCAGTTTCTCGAAGTAATATTGACTAGCTATGCCATGTGCCCAAAAATCCCAAGGGATACCCTTAGACTGCCTTGACCGGCCAGTTTGTTCTCAACCCATACACAAGGTGTGAAGTGCAATAGGGTACATATCTCTCCAATGCCAATTGCTGCATTTTACGACGAAACGAGTTCCCCAATCATCGTTATTTTACCTATCTGGTCTAACCAAAACCGAACGACCAAATAAAGTGAAATCCGGTCCAAGCGGNCTCATGAAACGGTTAATCATACCGAAAACTTTGTGGACCTAACGACTGGAGCTCACTCACAAACCACTGAAGCTCTTTGGCACGCTTACAAGATACAGAATAAAGGCCAATGCGCCACACACCAATCTTCAGTGGATAGCTAGTTTTGTGATTCGTTTGGAAGGGAAAGGTACCGAAAAACAGACCTTTTCATGCAAATTATTAATGACATGTCGCAATTTCACCCTCTTCAATAGAAACTAAAAGTACAAATTTCATATCTTTTTAATATTAGGTGGGGTTCATCTGGAAAAGATCCCTTCTAGGTCACTGAATGCAGTTGTAGAAAGAAAAACAGCCCGTTAGTCACTACAAATGAGTGAAAACATTCTCGAGAATACACTTATTTTAAAAATCAATTTGGTTTTTCACGAGAGACCCAAGTGAATCTCTCGTCTATGCTGCACACAGGCCGTTGCAGCACATTCAGTTGTAGGACATCATAAACCAGAGATTCAGTTGAGTTTCTCGTGAAAATCAAAGTGATTTGCAAATGAGTGTACTTCTCGAGAACAATCCAATTTGGGTTCAAGTAGGACATAAGGTTGATGGAAACTCGGGGACTGCGCCTACCTGATGAGCCCCAAGAAGGGCGAAATCGGTCGTGGGCTGTCGAAGAGTTTTCAGCAACCTTGTGAGTAGTTTCCTTCATGGGTGAAAGCATTCTTTGCACGTAGTCCCTTCACAGGCAAAAACAGCTTGAGAGACATTTTATCCAAATTTCAAGTGTGCCCGCCCACATTCTCGACGGTTCAGTTGGTATCATATTAGTCNTCTTTTTTTGGGTGGCGGGGTTTATCTGGAAAAGTTCTAATCTGCTTACAGGTTATTGAAGGATTTTTCAAATTGCTGACTACTATTATTAGAAAAACAGAGGTAGCGTTCGATCGGCCACAAGAATTGGCTGCAGTCAAAACTTCCAGTTCACTGAATGCAGTTGTAGAAGGAAAAAAGCCTGTTAGTCACTGCACATGAGTGAAAACATTCTTCGAAGGCAGTCACTTCACGGGCAAAAAAAGCTTGAGATACCTTTTATTCAAACTTCAAGTGTGTCTGCCCACATTTTCGACGGTTCAGTTGGTATCATATTAGTCACACAAGGGTGTGCAAAGCTGTGATCGATCGACAACCCGTGACTTTGACGTGCAACGGTCCGCATCAAACTGGACTGTTGCAGCCTGATAGAATCTGCATCTCTGTTGTCGCTTTCGCTGTCATCAGATAAAATAAGAAAGATCAATGGCGCAGGCATGTTACGTCTGCATGTCAAAACACTCAGTTACTTCCAGAAGAAACGGTACTGACAGCAACCCTTCTTCATAGATTGCAGCGTCCGCAGAAAAGTTCACACGTTAAGTTAACTGGATCCCATGAAGTGGATCCCACAGGCGGCATCAAGACTTTCCAGAAAGCAAGTGTGTACCTTACACCATGCAAGATGTTGAATTGAACCATCGCCACCTTTCCACTACCAGATACCAAGTCAGGCTTCGCACACAACGCTTGCGAAAACCATGATATCACATACAGGAACGCCGACCACACTGACAAGGCAGAGAAGTTTTTCCCTAGTCTCAAGTGAGGAGAACACTTTCATAAAAATAGGGAACTCAAACGAACTGAAAAACAAAGAGCAATCAATCAATCAGTTAATCAGTCGTTTAGTTGTAACACCTCTTCGGTACACAGCTGTCATGCTACTTGAAGGAAGCATGAGGGCTGATATGCTGCCAGGTTGCCCTAACACAAACAAGAGCAGTCAAGATGCTGAGGTTAGGTTCGTCCTTCTGGTCACTAAGTTAGCACCTCATGAACTGAACTACCTCGAGCTTCCAAAGAAGACTTGGCTGTAAGATCCCACCGGCGTATCTGCATTTCCTCCAAGAAACTGAATAGTACACAAGCGTCGATGATAAAGTGAAAGCCGGATTATGCAGAATAAAACCTACATGTGCGTACCCTGTGCGTTAGGTGGCAACACTTGGGTAATCTTCAGTCCCATTAAAGTTCGACCAATGCGGTTTAAGTTCTTGCATCCTAATAACCCGCTTATTCACGCGAGTGTGCATTCTATTGCACACCGAGAAAGAACCGATTAGTGGACATTTTCGAGAGCGATAAGGTTGGGTCATCTGTTGTTCGAGTGACTGGAACCAAATTGATCCAGAGGTGCATGATTCCTGTGTCTGATCAAGGAACTAGCGAGGGATGGGAGAGTTAATAGTGTCTTCCAACGTACTTGCTATTAATGGCGTCCCATCTGGCCAATGCTGAGTTCCAACCATCATTCTTGTCTTGGCGCGAAGCCAACGACTTCAGTTTCTCGAAGCAATATTGATTAGCTATGCTATGTGCCCAAAAATCCTAAGGGTTACCCTTAGACTGCCTTGACCGGCCAGTTTGTTCTCAACCCATACACAAGGTGTGAAGTGCAATAGGGTACATATCTCTCCAATGCCAATTGCTGCATTTTACGACGAAACGAGTTCCCCAATCATCGTTATTTTACCTATCTGGTCTAACCAAAACCGAACGACCAAATAAAGTGAAATCCGGCCCAAGCGGCAATTCACTCACTGATACCCCCCTCAAACCTTTCCTGTGTTCAACCTGGTAACCACTCAGTTATCAGCTATCCGATGGTTATTCTGCGCGACCTCGTGAGAAATAAACTATTTATCTAACAAATTCGACGAACCGTGCCATTCCGTCTGGGCGTAATACACTACTCATAAGGTTACTGAAAACCCATCGACAGCCCACGACCGGTTTCGTCTTTCATGGGGCTCATCAGTTAGGCGCTTATGGGTAGTGTATTACGTCTATACAACGTATCGCGATATCTCGAATATCATACTAACTGGAACATGAAGCAGCCTGGTGCAACACATTCAGGCGAGTTTCCCGTCAAAAGGAAATTGATGTATAAATGGGGTCTGCTTGTCGATTCTTACTGGGAAAAAATCGTAAAGCGGTAGCGCCCTTTCGGTACCTAACTTCCATGCCACCAGAAGGAAGCACGAGGGCTGGGATACCGAGAGGTTGCCCAAGCCGAGTTCGAACCACGAATTTTCCGATCACCCTCGAACCATTGAGCCATCACACTAATTGTCTACACGGATAAAGAACATCAGCTTGCCTACGGCGTGTCATCAAGGGGAGTCGAGCGTTATCAGTGGAACTCCAGTGGTAAAAAACCTAATGCACCTCTGAAGTTATTAGCTGGATCTACCTAGATATTCCACCAACGTGATGAACTAAAGCTTTCAAACAGAAGCACAAACAATGAACGGCGCATGTTCAGCGCTATTACAGAGACAGGCATCGGTAAACAAACGATAATGAAACAGTGTTGTGTACATAACACGGTCCACCTGGTTTGTAAGTTGGAGTCCTAACTATTGAGCTACCTCGACCTCGGGCACTGTCCAATCACAAGGTTGACGAAGCGTGCTTTGAGACAGAGTGGGAGTTCATGAACTTGGTCGATTTTCTGGTCTGAAGCTCGTGGAGCTCCATTGGGTGATCAACTTCAACGACAACCCGCTTCTCGTGCTAGAACACGATCTAAACGCCCTCACTGAGGCCTACCGCAGTTACGCTCCCCCTTATATGGCCTTCTATTCCGGTCATGACGAATAGCCTGTGATTATCGCACGATTAACCCCCGAGTCTCAGGCGTTTCCGTGACTGACTCCTTAGTTTCAGATACGATTACCTGGTATGATCTTGTGTGCCCGAAATTCGCCCTGAGTCAAACAGAGACTGATGGATCGAGACCCGGTAATTTTCAACAGAGATTTCATCCGGTCAGCAAGTCAATCCACAATGAATAGGTGAGAAGCACTGTACAGTTGTTTCATCTTAATTGGAAATCAGCAGCCGCACGCATCTGACGAAACTCCAGTGGGGACTTTTGAACCTGCGACCCTCCGACCTGAAGTTTGAACACTAAACCGCTCAGCCACAAGCGGCTGATCAACAATGTGATTAGCTCGCACTCAGACAGGACACAGCGCCACTCATCCTTCAATCATGGGAACCACACCACGTGTTGACCGGCCCCTTGAGTTCCGCTCATCTTGCGAAA